GTTTTCCAACTTTTAACCTCATAGCTACTTCGGTGCAGTTGGGAGCATATGCTCTTAAAATTATAAAAATTTACGTAATACCCATTTAATGTTTGATCATTCCCAAGAGGGCATGCATGCACATATACAAAGGGAAATGGACCTGCAGTTGAGAAACACTGAGGGATAGTGCCATCCAACAACCCGGGGCGAGGTTAACCGTGTCTATCCTGCATATACCTAAGCCAGCACAGGAGATAGGCAGAAGAGAGAGAGAGAGACGGCAGCAGGTGTACACATAGATGTTGCTATCTAAACATCTGGACATTGGCGTTGCAGATGAGCTTCATCTTCTGCACCTGCATAACCTCACCTGCTTCCACACAGTCCTCAACTGAACTGAGGGGCCCTCACGCCTGCCTGCCTGGCTGCTTTCATGCTGTGCCGCAGACTGGGAAAGAATAGAAGTCTCCTGCCGCTAGCAGAGATGAAAGCTAGTATTTTAGAAATAGATAGCTCTTCACTTTTGTATCTCAACAAGCAAACTCCAAAGATGTTTGTGCGGTTCTGTTTTCAAGGTTTCCCAGAGCCTTATTTTGCTTATAAAACGGTAGGTTTTTATGTAGATTATGGAAGCTAGCAATGCTCACTATGTTTTAGGAACCCAAGCTCTCGTGATTTTCTCAGAGTCTGCTGGACGCAAAGCTCCTCAGGAAACTGGCACAGCAATGGTTGCTCTTGGTTCCCACCGCTGTCCCTAGAAAGCAGAGGCCTCTGTTCCTGTTTACATTCTTGCTCCCTTCTGTCTTCTGATGACACTTTGGTCCCTGGTGTTCCGTTACCTCTTTCATCTTGTCTGCAAAGACTAATCTGTGTCTTTCTTCAGTTTAGTCTGGCAAAAAAGAAAGAAAATGAAAGAGGAAAGGAAAACTGTTGACTTAGGGTTTAACTGAATGCTTTCTGACAACATTACTATATCATATCTGGTGCTACACACGTAACTGCTGTGTTGGAAGCTTTGAAATTCTAGTATGGTTTCAAGGTTATACATCTTGTTTTTCTAGGCCCTCAAATGTTTGACTATGCCTTTAATTTCTTTCGTGTTCTCTAAGTCTTTTGGATACATGGAAATAAATTTCTATGATATCATTTTTTTTTTTTCCTGCAAACTATTCTCCTTCCACGTTTCCACCACTCTCTTGGAAATGACTATAAAACTCTGCTTTCATCCGGGGTCATATGTGCAGAGGCTCGGGATAAAGACAGTGTTTCAGGAAGCACATTTGCATGGCCTCTACCCTCTGACAGCAGGAGAGGGTGGTGTCATGAGCTCTGTCTCATGAACTGTTGGCATCATACTTGAACCAGTTGTTAAATCATTCCAGTGCATATAACCAATTTTCCAGGTCAGATTACTTATGAGATAAAGGGCTGTCACATAATAGCCATGTGCTCCGGGACAAGAATGGCCTTCCACAAGGTCTTTTAGACACGGTAACAAGAGAAGCAATTGTTTCTGTGTCTGAATTGAAGCATGAAATAGACTTGGTTTAAGACGTTATTGAGTATCAAGCAATTTCTTGAGTGTAAGTTTCAAAAAAAATGTGATAAAAAATGCGATTTGTTAAAGTCACCCATCTACTATAGACGAGTTGCCCTGAATATACCACCCAGAGTAGAAAACTCTCCTACTCTTGAGTGACTTGTCTGCACCTCCTCGCCTGGCATCCAACAGCTCCTCGTTTGGGGTCATTACTTGGTCTCTACCAAACTAAAACAATACAAGAGGGGGAAATGGCTATGTTTGAGGTACATAGAAAGCTAGTTTGAGAACCCCTTGGAGGGTGTTAAGTTCCAGGCAAGAACCTAATGAGGATTTGAGTTGAGTTGAGAGAAACTACTAGAAGCATCAGAGGTGAAGAGTGTGGTGTAGGAGAAACTATGTACTGACATATATATCCGTGTACCAAAAAGTGAAAAGTTAAAAATGGGATATATTTGTTAATCATTTATGGCTGCCCTATTGAAATCCATCACTCAATGAAATATGGACATATGCCCTTTAGCTTTACATATTGCTTGCTATGTTGGGAGCTGTGAACCCCCAGATCCTGAATTTCTGGTAAACAACTTGTAATGCTTGCAGCTGCTCTGCTCACGAGACCCTCAGGAGTTCCTGATGGCAGGGGAGTGGTTTCTGGTGCCTTTGGCTGGGGCGTGGCTATCAGTTAAGGATCCCTATAGAAGCTGCCCCTGGAAATAATAAAGGGGGCATTCTGGCATCAAGGATGACCTGTGTCTCTGTCTGTGAATCTTTGTGAGTTTCAATCTCCAGCCCCTTGCCCGGTTCACAGACTGTATGGTAACGCATAGAGCCCAGACAGACGTGGTACACTACATTGCTATGTCTCAGTAACACACAGCCAACGCTCAACACATTAGCTGAACAACCGAAAAATAAAAAATAAAAAAAAACAGGTACACACAGATACAATGCCTAGCAGTGCTGTTAGGATAAAAGGACAGCACTTCTTGTTTCCGGTTGAGACCTTCACTATGACGAGAAACAAAGTCTCACAGTATGAATCCATGAGAGCGGCCCTTGAACCAATACTTGGACACACAGTTCATTACAGGGAGGGGCACATTCACAGGGAAGATTAAAAGAGGGCAGAGAGATGATAAACATTTTCCTTCATGCATATAATTTTTATTTTACGTAATATTAAGCATATAATAAGAAGCAGTTTAAACCACCACTCCTCAGCTGTATCTTGCTGGGTGCTCCAACAATACCTGGGTATATTAACTGTGGACCCCGGCCAGCATCATCCAAGTACAGGTTTCTCCCTAGTCTGATCTTTCCCGCTTCTTCTCCGCTAGCCGTGTTCCTGATTTCCACAGTTCCACCATTAGCTCAGCTCCTGAGACTAAAGGATCCCAGTCCTGCTCTGCTTTTCTGTGTCTCACCGTGGTGGTATTCTCTGCGCCCCTCCCCACGTGCTCCACGTGCTCATTCATGTCCCCCCACCCTGCCCGTAGGGCTGAGAACTGATCTTCAGGTCTGCATTCCTTGCCTGTGGTTACTGCCTCTTCCCTCCCCACCATGAATGACAGTCACAGTTGGCCACAGACATCGTTCCCTAAAGCACAGATATTCTTTTTCAGCTGTAAGTGTTTGAGATTAGGATCTGCCTTTTGCACAGTTTGCAACCCCTCCCCCTCCGGACGTTAGCAAAGCTCCCGAAAGGGACATTCAAAAATACCCATTGGGTGAGTACTGTTTGCCAACCACATCTAGGTGGCCAGGACAGCAGCAATAGCTCCAGTGTGTTCTCATTTTAGCAAAGATGCAAGGGAAATTAAATGTGGGATTCCTGTAGAAAATGAACAGGGTTATCTGTCCGATGGCAACAGAGAAGGGGAAACATCTCCATAGAAGGAGTAGAAGGGTAAGAAGAAAGACGGGAGGGAAGGGGGAAGAAAGGGAAGGAAAACCACATAACCTAAACTCAGAGAGGATCCATGACCCAGGCAGAAGGACAAGACAACTGAAGACCTGGAGAATAGTGGGAAAACCTTGGGAGATTTAATGGATTAAGTAAAGCTGAGATGGCCTAAGCAAAGGGGTCCAGGGCCAGGCTTGGCATAGTGTGGGGCTGTGTCACAAGGATCAAAGGGTTGGAACTATAGATCAATGGGAAGCTGAAGGAGCTAGAGAAATGGTTGGAAATGGATTTAAAATTTTACAAGTTCATCTTAGCTTCTTTGTAGAAAACTGATGACTTGGGGGACTTTAAAAGGAGACCAAGTAGCAGATTATTAAACAATAGCCCAGGTAAGATTATGCCATTGTAGGAAAGGGTAATGAATATACAGCAGAGGTGTCATGGCAACTGAGTCTGCATCCACTCTGCCTCCAGAGCAAGAGGAGGAATTGGAGGGGGGGGGGGAAAAGCAGGGAAGGGAAGGAAGGAGGAGGAGACTAGGGAAACAGGGAGGGGAAGAGGGAGAAGGTAGGGGAAAAGAGGGAAGAATGAAAAAAGATGGGGAAGACATTCATGTTATTCGTCAAATTAATAGGATTTGGTTATTAATGGATTCACATTAGGGATGATAAGGAATCCATGATTTCTGATCAAACTGGCTTTTTGTTGTTGTTGTCGTGGGGGAGGTTGGCTGGAGGAACAGTTCTGTTAGGATGAGACTGAGCTCCAGTTTAGTTGCAAGCACGCTGGAGAAGCATGCTGAGGCGTCGGACAGCTGTTTGTAGACCAAGACCGGGCTTAAGGTCCAGGCTGGAGACTTGAACTGAATACTGGTGATATTAGGTTTCTTTTAAAGGCAGGACAAGGATGGGGGGGGGGATAAATGCTCCCGAGTTAAAATAAACCCTGGGACTTTCAGTCTTTGTCTTGGAAGAAAAGGAGCCAGCAAAGGATTGTGACACTAAGGAGAGAGAGCACTGATTTTGGACTTTGTAAAGCGACGTCAAGCACCTTTTATTGCTTAGGGGACAGGCTTCGATGTGACTACCCTCTGAGCGCAGCAACCACCATCTTGGGAAATTCAGATTGGCCAGCTTGCAAAACAATTATCCCAGCTGGACTTGTTGACTCTTTAAACAGGCACGGGGAGGGGGCATGTCCTAGATGCTCACCTGGGTAAGCAGGGGCTCCTTACCACCTGCTATAAGAAACTCTGCTTGCTTTAATTGCACTTGGTCTGGAGGAGGGGCTGGGTGAGAGGAGCCTGGGAAGACTGCGGATGGGTCTCCGCTAGGGATGGAACTGCATCTAGGCCTAGGGGGAACCCCTCATTTCTGCTGCGGTCCAGGTCTTGGTGGGTACCACTCCAGGCTGTATTCTTGGGTGCTGTAGGAAAGCAGTCTGCGCGCCGTCAGGAGCAACCCTGTAACGTGGTCTTCTCCAGGTTCCTGCCCAGTTTGAGTTCCTGTTTTGGTTTCCTGCAATGGACTATGATTCAGAATATGTAAGCTAAATAAATCCTTCCCTCCCCAGGTTGCTTTTGATCACGGTGTTCTGTCGCAGCAGTGGGCGTCCTAACCAAGGCAGTTCTCCAGGGTAACCTTTGGAACCGTACCTGGCTTTGTCACTGGGACATTAGAAGAAGGGGTAAACATTGCTTATGTCTCCCACCGGGAGGGATTTTTGGCAAGAGGTCTGTTTTCAAAGCTTAGGAAAGGAAGGACGGGTGTCATAGTGGGTTGCATAATACCTCTGGAAACGTAGTAAATTATAATCAGAATGGTAGAAGCCAGGTTCTGCCCACTAGGCAGCTATCAGCTCAGACCAGAGTTTAACCCCTCCATCAGTGCCTGTGGGTGTCAGGAGGTACCTGCTCTTTTTTTTTTCCCTCAGTTCTCCACCTGGCTGAGGGGCCAGTCTCATGAGTGTGTGTAGCCTGACTCAACTATCCTTGTCTTTTAACCCGTGTCAAGTGTCCCCAAATATACAGACTCTGTAGAACGTTTGTTTTCTACCACCTGGCCCATCTTTTACTGGATGCTTCTTCAGTCTTGCAGGTTGGTGGTGGTGTTGCGGGGACCGGATACTGTCTGCTGCCTAAAAGGATCCAACTCAGTGAACAGCGACAACGCGGGCTGTGCGTTGGTTTAAGTGGCAGGCACGCTCTTCTTTTTTTTCAATCGTCTTTTCACGCAGCAGTGGCAAGGAGGCCCGCATCTCTCTTCCCAACAGCTGTTGGCACTTGCTGCTTCCTCCAGCACGAAACCGGGCTCACGTGGCGTGTGCTCAGCCGAGGACCATCACCTGGCTCAGGTGTGCTGTATCTTTGGCCTCCAGTAGAGCTTTGGAGGCTCGGTTTGAGCTTGTTTCCTGCTCTGTTTACATTTCTGGTGGTGGGTGTGTCCTGGGGCAACGGAACAGCTCCCTGTACATAGGGACAGCTTATGAAGAAGTGAAGAGGGGGTGAGGGGGAGGAGATTGCTTAGTGAGGCAAGTCACAGAATTTCCTTAGCCAGCCTGAGTTTGGGGACAGGCTATTGCCTGGCTTGCTCATGCATACAGACCCTACTTAAGAGGAAGTGTGGAGAGGAAGGAAGCCAGCATAAGAGGGTGCAGGCCTGGGAGCTTTGAAGAGACTAGCCATAATATGCGTTTGTCACCAAAATGCTCCCTAGGCTCCTCGGGGTATATGTAGGGGTAGTTTTTAGTTCATGACAACTGTGTAATTTCTCGCTTACAGGGCACTCCATTGACAAAGGAAGTTCTGGAGGTTTCGCCACAGTCCTAGTCCCCAAATTGGGGGACCGCTATTGGTCACAGAGGCTAGCCATGGAGGTCAGTCACTGCATAAAGTACCTCAAGGCTGGCCATCGAGCCCCGGTCAACTTTGAAAAGGGAAAGTCCTGCCCCGTTTCTGTCCTTCTCAGGGCCATTCTTGCTAAGCCCCAGAAACCTAAAGCCATCCGAATGCTCTGAGGGTTGCCAGAACCTGGCCAGGATGTGAGTCCCGGTAACCTAGGTCCCCTAGCGCCCCCTACAGCTGCGGCGGGGTGGGGGTGGGGATCGGGTTGGGGAGAGCGAGCTGAGGCTGTGAGCCACAGCACCACACCCAAGACCCCACCCAGATCACAGGAGCCCCCAGGCCACAGAAACGGGGCGTGGGCCAGGGCCTGAGGCATCCCTGGCCACCACAATTGCTCCGCCTGTGGCCACCAATTCCCCTCCCCTGGCGTCCCTCTCTCCGCCCCTGTCGCCTGCCAGTACCGGACACGCTGCTGCACTTCATCTCTTGGGGCGCTCTTCGCCTTGGCCAACCGTCGCATCCTGTGCAACTCTGGTCAGTGGCCGTTTGGTGTTGAATGTTCCCCACCAAGAGTGCATGGCTGCGGAACCGAGGCGCAGACCCGGGCCCCGAGGGGTCGCCCTCTGGGAAGCCGTGATGCTGTTGTACCTGGGAGTGCCTGCGGGGTACCCCTACAACCTGGACCCAGAGAGCGCGCTGCTGTACCAGGGCCCCTCCGGCTCTCTGTTTGGCTACTCGGTGGTGCTACACAGCCACGGGGAAAAGCGCTGGTGAGTGCGCCCTCCCCAAGAGGCATGTGGCAGCGTCTCCGCCTCTGGGATTCCTTGTTAGAATCAAACTTTCCGCCCTCCTGGGAGATCAGAGGAAAGCCTGGCTCCAGCCAGTTGGCTCACTGGAGAGCCTTGGAACTAACTTATCTTAGGATAGCAGCCCTCAGGGTGCTCCAGGTACCTGGTCCCGGGAGTCCTGAGTCCTGGGAGATGGTGATGGGCAGGGGACGTGGGCGCCCCTTCCACAGCTGTGGCAACTTGGGGCAGGGTGGGTGGGCAGGCTGGCTCACATCTGAGCGAACTTGCATGGTTCTCGCTTTAGGCTCATCGCAGGGGCACCCACTGCCAGCTGGCCCTCCAATGCCTCGGTGGTCAATCCTGGGGCGATTTACAGATGCAGGATCGGAAAGAATCCAGGCCAGACCTGCGAGCAGCTCCAGCTGGGTGAGTTGGGTCCTGGACCAAGAGATAATGAACTTTCCCCCATGGGCCCATTGCTGGGCAAATTCTGGAAGACGTCACTGTGCCAGCCAGTTTCTTCTAGTTTAAAGTGCATGCTTTTCAGCTTTAACCCCGTGGCAGCTTGCTTCTGGTGATATTTGCCTTTCTCTTGCTTGCGGCTGTAGTTTAGTTGATCTCAGTAGCTGGCATAGCTCTTTCAGGGAAAGGTTTGTAGGATGCCTTCTGGCCAGCCACCTCTTATCACCCACCATGAGTAAAACCTGCCTCAAAGCCAGAGGATCCAGCCCAGGGGAGGATTGCTGAGGATTGTACTTGATCTTGGACTTTTCATCTTTGATATATAGGATAAAGGGCACATCGGGAATGAAAAGTTAGGTTGATCCTACATCCCATCATCTAGCCCAAGGGCTTTTCTTTCTCTTCCTTTGAAAAAGAAACGGATACCATATTTTTTCCCCGGTAGAATATATACCATAAAAGAAAGGGAGGGGAAAATGGCGCGTCTACTGTGTTAAAATCATTAATATAGGAGGTCTAACATATAGTTACTAAATTTCCTCCCCTCAGATTCCCCTGTGAAGCAGGCCTGTCTCCGGCCCTCATTTTTTATGTCTTTATTTAGATTTGCAGCAACTCGAGACATGTGTGCTGCTGGGGGAGGGGGAAAGTTTCATGTTTCAAAGTCAAAAGCAAATTTGCTGCGCACAGGCCCATGGGAAAAGAAAGGGGAACTAATATCATATTTAGGTCTATCTTGCTCCCAGTGTTAAGCGTTGTCGTGTATATTGCTCAATGTTTCCCCCTCAAAGCAACCCTAGGTTATGACTGCTTTGTTTCTGCTTTCCGCAGTGGGGATCAAGCACAGAGAGCTATGGGTTCCTCCTTCAAAATGATGCATGGAGGCTTAGCCTTACACTTCAGTGGTACATTCTCAGTGAAGATAAGACTAAAGGAAGGGTTTGGTGTGCTGTCCTTAGGGATGTGCTATCACGTATGATGACGAGTTAGTTATAGGTGATTGGGATTTTTCTTTATCTGTCAATGGGCTATTGGAGATTACCTTATTTTGTCTAAGTTCTATAGTCCTCTCCATGTTGTTTTCTTGCTTGTTTTTTTTTTTTTTTTTTTTTTTGTCTCCACATTTTTACTTCAGCACCCATAAAAAGGCAGGAATCGTCTGCGCATTGGCCTTGGCTGAAGCTGATGGAAAAGTACAAAGGCTATCGAGGGAGGGAAGACACAGGAGGGGGGAGGAGGAGAACAAAGGGGAGAGGGAGAGAAACAACATAAATTCTAGTCAGGAAAATAAGAGTTATTGTGAACCTTACTTCTTTGTGAAGGAGAGATGGGCCTCAGAGCATCATTAGGAACCCCTGGTCCAAGTGGCAGACTGGGGTGCATAGAAGACTCACAGAGCTGTGTATTCGGAATGATTTTGCAGAGTATTTTCGTTGCCTGAGAGAACTGTGCAATGAAGGAAGCTTTGATCTAACAGAGGCTTCCCAGGGTCTCCAGTCCTGGCATTCTTTCCAGAACTGTGACATTACAACTAGTGGTAGCTACATCCTGCCTGGAGGGCACTGGATCTATTTACGGATGCTTGTATTTAACTGGAAAGATTGTGCCCTGATAAATTATATAAGCTTTTAGATGAGGGCAGCTGCCAATTAAGGAAAACCTAAATCCACCATGGTATAGGGCACAGAGTTCTCCAGAGACACTGAAACACAGTAGTAGATACAGAAGGAACATTACAAGTTCTAGGATGGATGGATAAAGGAAAGGACAAGTCTGATAGTTATCAGCTTGATTAGTGGGTAAAAGAGTTAGCAAAGGTAAGCCAAAGCGATATTTCTCACCTTCAACAACTGAGTCCATCACAAAAGTGCCGAGATGAAAGAGAGAATTGAGTGTAAGGTCCTAGCCAATTGATTGGTTCCAGTGTCAACTACAGCAGCATTGAGAATATTTTCATAAGGGAACTGACTGAAGTCATTTCTCAGGGAACATTACGATCAATACAGTCTCAGCTTCTACAAGAAAAAAATGTTTATTAAGAACAAATTCAAAAGTAATTTAAAGCTGTGAGGTAAAATATGGATGCTAATGTCCAGAAAGAAAGCTTAAAAAGTCACCAATTGATGAACAGAATGATATTTAAGACTGTAAGGTTTATAGACTATGGACTATTACTTAGGAACACATTGTGTGTGTATGTGTTGTGTGTATGTATGTATTGTATATAGAGAGGAAACAGAAAGCTACCTACATGCACACACACAAAATCCTCTGTATGATTGAGCTATTTATAATTAAAAATATTTTTATTTATATTTAACTATATTACGTAGTTATATTATGAATTACTATGTTAGCAATTACATAAATAATTGTAATAATCTTATCTAGAATGTGAGTGATTATTATAAAGTTTAAAAACACTTAGTTTAGCCAGGCTTGGTGGCATATGCCTTTAATTCTAGCACTCAGGAGGCAGAGGAAGGTAGATCTTTGAGAGCTCAGATCTAAGCCAGCCTAACACAGGAGTCCAAGGATCGCCAGAGCTATATCATGAGACCCTGTCTAAAATCCTGCTTCCCAAAATACTTAGTTCAATATCTGATACATATCAGACACTGAGAAATAAATTCATTTTCTACTTAAAATATATGTGATATCTGCAACAAAATGCTATCAAAATAAGTAACTAGGGTCAACTAACAACCTAAAAATAAAATGTTAGTTGTATAAACAAAAAAATATAACAAACTGAAATCAAGCAAAATGAAAAAGAAGTCACTTAGCCCATCCAAAATAAAAAAAGTTGTAAGATAGAGAGCTATTGGAGCTATCTATCTCAGTAAGTAACCGCTTGTCTCTGGAATACCGTTACTTTTTATCACGATTCTAAAAGTGTCCAGTCTTGTAAAATGGTGCCTACCAGCTGTTTGGTTCAAAATATCCATCATGAGGTGTTTCCAAGTCTCTGTACTATGTCAGACAAATGGCTGGTTCAGATAGGCGCCTATGCTCTCCCACCTTAGCCTGTGGCTAAGGTTACTGCGTATCATGTTGCATTCACTACAGCCATAATCAGAGTCAAGCAGGCATACACATTTATCTGGCATGCTCGGGGGAGACATTGGCAGTGCCCCCTAGCAGACCCAATTGGCTGCTGAGGTAACACTGACGGAGTTGCTTCTGTAGCACCCAGAGTGTTTTCTTCCTGTGTGCTCTCCCTCCCTCTCGCATCCTGCCTGCCTCAGAGGTGGCTGCTGTTTTTTTACCCCCTTACTGCTTCCTCCCATGGA